GCTTAATCTTATAATTCAAATTGTGTTAAGAGATAACAATCTCTTACATAAATAATAAAAAACGATTTAAACTTTTCTATGTTATCATAACTATAATGATTTCTATTACATAATGCATAAGCTTTTTAAAGCTGTTAACATTTTTAAATAATTAAATAAATCAAAAACACATTTACAGTATGTGTTTCATTCTGTAATGATGTTTGGGTTTATGTTTTATATGAGAGATTCTTATGAAATCTTTTTTCATATAAAATAATTTAAACATTTTATATACATTTCGTAATATATTTTTAAAATTTAGATTAATCCATAACTAATCTGCTAGACAATCGGTACGACATTGTTAAAGTGCATTAACAGGGATATACCCCTTTCCCAGACATTTATTTTCCTAATTATAACACCATAATATTACTATATTAAAGGGAAAGGGTGTCGAAAAGAGTTAAATTCATAGTATTTCCTTATAAAAATGATTTAGTATTATGTAAAAAAGTTGGTAGATAATTTAATCTCTGTACATCCCCCGGTCCTTATGGATTAATTATATCACTTTTATGGCTAACTATTAATAAAGTTTTATTTTGATATAAAAATAACTAAATCTGCTATAGTATAAATTTATGTAATTTATAACCCACTTCTGTGTACAGATAAGTTATACTTAAAATAATATGTAAATAATTTTTTAAAGCTTATAGAAAATAATTTTTACATTTTTCTATGGTTTTGATCGATTAGTTTAGTATATCATTTTGTGTGCACTATTTTTTAAAAATATTTCTACTATTTGTCTACAAAGCAAAGCAATTGTTTAATAAGAAAATTATAAGAAAATTATCGCAAATCAAATAAATTGCTTTGAAATCATATATCGTTATAAGAAACTCCCATTAAATGGGAGAAAATCAGACATAATATCAAAAAAGGTTTTATTTTTATAAAAACAAAATTTGTTTTTATTTTTTATTACTTTTGTATTCAAATTAATTATGATTTCTCATTTTAATATTATTACAGATGTAAAACATATTCAGTAAGTTTATCCGACTTTATATTAAAATAAAGTCTCTCTCTCTCTCTCTCTCTCTCTCTCTCTCTCTCTCGACACAAATACTATTATATTCTCAATGTTAATGAATAGGTAAGGGGTAAGAGATGTAAAGGATTAATACCTGTAGAGCATCCATATCCGGTTTGTACTGTTTTCTAAGCCCTCTGTGAAAGAGTATATATTTCATCATTTCGTATGAGTCGTCTTCACTCATCTGTCAGTCAATACATCGAGAAAAACAAATAAAAACAATCGATAAGTAAATTAATAAATTATTATTATTAATAAATATTTATTAGATTATTCAATATCTAAATATATTTATTAAACATTCAATATAATATTTATTTATTCACCTAAAATATTGATAATTATAGGCATGGTTAGCGTTTATTATTTAGAAAATACTAATTTGCATTAATATAGAGCCAGATAGATTTGATGTAATATTTTTTATATTAGTCTAGAGGTCAGTGAAAAATTATAAACATCTATTAATATAACTAACGGTATATTAATGGCTATCCTGAGGGTCGACCCCATGCCATGCAATAAAAATATATTAATAATGATGAATATTAACGCAAATATAATTAATTAGATATTCAACTCACATGTAGTAAAAGTATCCCGGCCACAAAACTTAATCCCTGACAATATTCCACTTCCTGTTTAAAATATGGTATTAACAGTATTATAATATATCAAAAATAATAAAATATATTTATTATTCAAATGCATTTGAGTTATTAAATAAGAGTACTTTTATTAGCAATAAACTTATTAATAAGTACCGTATCATATAATGAATATGCTTTGAGTAGATTGTATAACGATAATTGACCAGGGCCCAGTGTTTGTGCATAATAGGCCACTTTGGGGAATGTGCGACCTGTTATTTCAAATATTTAGCCAGTCAATAATTAATAATATTTATATAAATATTAAGAATATATAAATAAAATATTTAATATAGTTTTAAATAGCTTATTATAGAAATAAAGTTTTATTTAAATTAATTAACAGTTAACTAAATATTTATGCTTAAAATGAATAATTTTATTGTTTTAAAACTTTATGAAAAATACAATGCATTGAAAATGAAATACTGTATATGATATTTAAAAGTACATAGAGTAATTAGTTAAATACTAAATTAACGAACCACTTATTTAGTATTTAATACCAATGAAAACATTGAAAAAAATATCAAATAATTAAATACAGTTTTAAACTCAAATAACATAATAATAATCGCTTAAAATAGTTTCCATAAAAGTCTGTCCCCTAACCGCTCGGTGGACCCTCTGAACCCCAGTCCCCTTCCGACTAAACCTCGCTTCGGGAACCGGAATATTCTTATCGTAAACGCGAACACAATTGACAATAAAATGGAGACAATTCTTCTTGAATCCGGTGGCGAACCAGAAGAATATCAATGAATTGGCAAAACCCGTGGCTCTTATAATCATGAAACACACGTAATACTGGGCACTTAGGGGACAGGTATCTCCAGGTTGATAATATGAGAACTTAGTGGCCGTATGGAAAGCCGTGTTCTTAACGATAAATACCGCTAACACTGCCAACAGGCGTTTGGCTACCGGTCTCCAGGAATGGTCGCCTATACTATACAAATGGATAATAATTCTGAGGGTAAAGTAAGTCACTAATAGGGCCGGTATTATAAACTCCATGAATAACCGAAATAAACGGGTGCTTTGCTTGAACACCATGTTTTGGTTAAGCACCGGCATATATTGTTCAGAGTTATCTAGGCAAACCAATGTCTTAGATTGGTAGTCAAAGTAATACACATATGACGTGACCACAAATGGTACTGACAGTATTAAACTAACGGTGCAAATGCACACATATATGGTTCGACTGGACAGCCTGTCGAAAGGGTTGCACAGAGGTCTACATATGCCGTAATACCTGTCCCAACTCAGGACTACTAATGTGAACGATTGCACGTATAGTATAGTGGCGTCGATGTAATTATCGATGGACTGAACTATATATATGGCGTTTGGCGTAAATGGTAGGGTCATGTCGACCACCGGTATCACCAGATATTGGCGTATGATAATCTCAAACGCCATTAAACAGTCACACAATATGATGGTTAGCATTAGCTGTTGGGGTCGCTGATTGTGGTCAACCCTTTTTGGGTGAGAAGTAGTCATAAATAAAACAGTTTTAATGCAAACGAATGATAGGGTTTGCAATATATTCGTGTAATTCAGTATAAATATACTAATATTTTGCATTTCATTAGTGGTGTTCATTATAACAGTATCGGCACTATTGGCACTCACATTGTTAAGAGTTATAAAATTATAATAATATATTTGATTTAAAAGTTTCTTTAACTTTTCATTTTGTTTGGTTTGATCGAAACTTTATACCAAACAACTAATAAATTTGATTATTATTTTAATGCAATAATTATTTATTCAAAACATTTTAAGAGTTTAAGAGTTAGGAAGTGATGAGAGAGAGAGAGAGAGAGAGAG